CGGCGCCGGTTCGGCTTCCGTAGCCCCGCCCCATCCGTAGCCCCGCCCCCGCCGGAGCCCTGGAGCGGCCGGTTCGCTACGCCTCGCTGTCTTTCCCGCCGCAAGAGGTGGGGACGCGCCTTTCAGCTGGGGGCTGTGACAGAGCTGTTCTCGGACAGTCCCAAGTATTTCTTTCGCCTCTTCCCTTTTCATTATGATCCTGGCGCCAAATGACGTTCTTTAGCTCCTTGACAACTGCTGGGTTGATCGTCAGTCATCGCTCGTTCGCTGTATAAACGTTTGATAAAGCTAAATCCAGCTCAGAGATCGCCTCTTCATGGCGGCTTTTCCTGACTACCTAACGGAAGTAGTCCTCCTCTCTCCAACCCACTTGACCACGGTCTGCAGTTCTACCAGAATGTAAACTCCAGGAAAGCGCGTCCTGGTCTGTGACGCTGTAACCCCGGTGAATAGTGGAAGATTACAATGGTGGAGTTTTTTTGAGGAGCTGCCTACTGACTCTCCCTCCGTATCTGTCTCCTGGAGAACTTAATTAATAAACATGATGAAAAGCTCAATCTCTATTTCAATGCGAATTCTTGGGTCCTCTGACCCATGGAACTCTAAACAGTACCTCCAGAAATACTTCCTGGGTCACTCCTGAGGTATACATGAGTCAATCACAAGATACATCGTCTTGCCTTGTTATTGAGGGAGAAGTTTTAATTGCTCTTTCACTTTTCTCTACAAATGTGTATGACATTCTGTCTGACTTTGTAGTTACTTTCCTTTTACTTTGCATGTGGGATTTAAATGAGATACAGTACCTACTGCACTTAACAAATTGCCTGGCCTGCTGTAAAAATGCACTAGCAACAGCATCCTTATCAATGATACATTAGATAAGGACAGCCTGGCAGATGAGAAGACACATGGGTCCCAGTCCTCCAACATTACAAGGTGTGACACTTAAAGTAAAATAATTAGTCACAGGGGATAAATGAGGAGGGTTTGTTTTAAGAATGAAATAAGATTATGATAAACACTTCACACACTCTCTCATATAATCCTCATTTCAGTTTGGAGGAAAGCATTAACCCCAATTTATAAAGAGAGAAAGGAAGGCTTGGAGACATTCTAAGATGGAGCAGTCAGGCTCCAATTTTTAAAACTGCATTGACATATCAATTACTAAGCGTAATTACTGTGTAATCATCACAGAGCATGAAAGGCAAAAGCCTGATTCTTTTCCACTGCTGCCTGATAGCCCTCAATGGCTCCCCTGTCACTACAGAATAAAATAGCCCCCGCAACGTTCCCCTTTAACTTAATATTCTGGGTTTTATTTCTAAGGACTCTCCTCAAGTACTTTATACACTAGTCAAATCAGAACCCCCCCCCACTTCAGTGGCCAAAGAATATGCTTGAAACAATTCAGGTGATTATTCTGTAGCATAATGCATATATTATTTTTCCCACTCATTTGACTATAAAAATACGCTACTGTCAACTGAAATAAATGCGCAGCCTAAAAGTTAAGAGTTATGTTTTATTTGGCGGGAGGACTCGAGCCGGGATGACAGCCTCTCAGATAGAGGTAGGAGAGG